GACGTCCGAGCCCCCGCCTCTTCCTCGCGGGTTTTCAAAGGACGTTGGGGCGGCCGGCCCTGAGCTTCCCTCTGAGGCTCAGGGACCCGTGGTCACGTGCCAGCCGCAGTGGCCCCCAGCGCGCTCTGGGTCCCTTTAGATCGCATCCCGCGCCTGAGCAGCAGGTGCCGCCTCGAAGTCGTTAGCCGAGTCGGCCAGTCACATGGAGGGTGGCAGCGGGACAGCCCCGGCCGAGGCACTCGGGGCGATAGGAGAGGGGCCCGAGGTCGCGGCGGGACTGGCGGAGCCTGACAGGACAGCAGATGTTGCGGGCGGTGGCGAGGTGGAGAGCGCTCACGGGCCGCGCCGGGCTTTGAGGGCAGTATACGTGCGCAGCGAGAGCTCGCAGGGGGCGGCGGCCGTCAGCCCAGAAGCCGGGGCCCTCAAGTGCCTGCTTCAGGCTTGTGAGGCTGAGGGCGCTCATCTCACCTCCGTGCCCTTCGGGGAGCTCGACTTTGGGGAGACCACCGTGCTAGATGCCTTCTATGATGCAGGTGAGGCCGGGTGCCCCCTTGGTCCCCACCTCCCTCCTGCTTTGTCCTCCTGTTACAGGTCCTGTCACCACTCTGTTCTTAACCCTGGACCTCTCCTGTTGTCCCCTCCCCGACCTCCCACCCCCTGACTCGTAGGACAAGACTCCTCTTCTTCCTGGAGAGCTTAGAACAGATAAAGAACCCTTTTCCAGATAATAGAGGCCACTGGAGCTTAGATCCCTTTCATCCTAAGTGTTTTATAATAGCCAAGAACCCAAGAACCACACTATCACCCTAGACAATGTTGAGGCCCCCAATGATCAACTTTTATTCTCTCTTGGTGTGTCTTCCAACAGGCTACATATTAGAATCATCTGAGAGACCTGTTGAAACTCCTTGTTAGCTTGGATGTAATGGTTTAACTGTCTAATTCCAGGGCAGAGAAGGGAGGGATTGCAAGTTCAAGGTCAGCCTAGGCTACAGAATGGGACTCTGTTTGAAACAACAAAATCTCCTTGCCACCCACCTCAGACCAGTGACATCCAGTATGCAGGCCTTGGGAGTGTTTAATTCTTCCCTGGTGATTCTATTTTGAAGCCAGAAAGTGACAATCAGTACCTTACTGACCAGCAGGTGTGTGTTGACTCCTCTTAGTAATGCCCTAGTGTTCTTCCACACACTTTAATTCCTGTCCCAACTACATACTTACGGTGGGGTATAATTTATCACCATGTGACATACATTTTAACTCATCATGCAGTCCATTAATAGACTAGGACACTGTTCCCAGGCTCACGGTAGTAACCCTGCAGTAGCAATCCAGTTTTCAAGTCCCCACTTTGGACTGGCAACAGTTCCTTCACCTGTAGAATGAATTGTTATTTGACTGATTTCCTTACTTCACTTTTTGGGACAAATTTCTGAAACCTGGATGGCACTCATAAACATTGTCTATGACACAGTAATTACCGGGGAATGTTTGTGCCTTAGTTTTCCCACAGGTCAAACAGCGATAACAGTGTCTAACCTAAAAGCATTTAAGAAGAGAAATGGGGAGTTGTCAAACACTGATCATGGCATGCTGTCATAGCAAGCTAGGTATCTTGTGTGTGTGTGTCTGTCTGTCTGTGTCTGTGTCTGTGTGTGCCCCAACCCAGTGCTTTCGCGTGCTTGGCAAGTTCTACCACTGAGCCACCCCCTCCCCCACTCAGTTCAATCCCTTGTTTACTGAAGGCAGCCCCCATTTACCTTTTTTTTTTGTATAGCAAATGGCCAAACCCGCCCCCCATCTGGAAAGAGATGGGGTGTCAGACTTGTTCAAATAAGTGGCAGCTGGACCCATATAATGTGCTCTCTTGACATTTTTGACCGTGCTGAGTATACTCTTCAGCATCACATCTTTTCAAAAGAAGTTGTTCAGGGGCACACTCCACCTAGAACTACTCATTTTTCTCCACTTCTAGTCATTCTGCTCCCAAATGGAGTTTGAACAGATTCTTCTTTGAATGATAAAATGTCCCTTTGGCCTCAGACACAACTCTCCTCTCCAGCCTGCTCGATGACAAGTCTGAAAATTTCATGTGCAGTGACTACTTTTCTGGGCAAATCTTCATCTGCTATCTGGTCTTCATCTCACAGGCTGTATGAGACAGGACAGACTCCAGATCCCAGGCTTTTAGTTCCAGAGCACCCAGCAAGCCTTTGCTTACTTGGAGTCTAAATTGTCTTGAATTTACCTACACCATGAGCCTCCTTTTGTTAACTTTGTCCTGGTCTTGAATAAATCATTTCCCGATACTTCATTATGGTTATTTTCATAGGTTTAGAAAAGAACAGATGTAATTGCAATAAGTGGATTTCTTGATTAGCCCATTACCTCCTCATCCCTACCCTCTTTTGGATCCTTGATCTCCACCCTCACAGGAATTTTTTTTTTGACATTTTCCACTAAAAAGCTAGAAATCATTGGCAGTTTTTTAACAATCTCTAAAACCTTGTTATGCACTTGAGTAGCCTCTGCTCACATGTAGCTATTCATGTTTACATTAGTTCACATACACTAAAGTATGGTCTGTAGTTTAAGCAGCCACATTTCAAGAGTTGCATAGGGACACTAGATGCTGAATGGGGACAGCAAAGATGTAGTGTTTTCCTCACTGTAGGTCTTCCTGACAATGCTGTTCTAGAAAACGGCTGCCGGGGGAGGGAAGCTATTGAACTGTCCCAGGTGTGTTGTGGGCAGAACCATAGACGTGACATTAGGCACTTCCTATCTCCTGTTCTCATAGCAACTCAAGGCTGGATTTGATTGTGTTCTTGTACTGATTTATGTGGTCCTGTGCATGTATGTGTGTCTTAGATTCTGTGTCACTAGTACAGGGTTGATTGGAGATGCTGCAGGAAAGCCACAAGCTAATAGAAAAGACTAAAAGAACTCACGGCGGGGCTGGGAATGTGGCTCAGTGGCAGAGCACCTGCCCAGCATCCCCAAGGCAGGATGTTCAAAAATAAAAGAACTTAATACACTAGAATGTTAACATGGCATTAGAATGAAAAAGTATTAACGATGCTCATTTTATGTTGCTTATTGACAATTTTTAAATGTGATTTTATTTTAAACAAATATAGTAGGAGATTAAAGATGGGTTTATGAAAGCCTTCTTTCTCTCTCTTGCTCCTGGAGTGGCATGATGTACAGCAGTGATCTCACTCCCCAGAACCAGGCTGTATGATCCTTTGCCCAGACCTAAGCTGTCTTCTGTTGGGCCTGGCTACTACCCTTCATAGTCCTTTCCTGAGCCAGCCTTCTTTCCATGCTGCTGTTACTGCTGCTCACTTTTCCTTAAGTCTGGACTTTCCTCAACTCTTAGCCATGTGGGCTGAATTTGATGAACAGAAGCATTGCTGCTTGCCTTGAGTGCATTTTAGTATAGAGCTCTGTAAGATGGACCATTGCTTGACTGGCTGCATAGTATCTGTTACTAGTGCAAAATGTATTACTTTCAGTTCCCAGCAGTCAACTTCCATACATAGTTTGGGAATATATGCCATAAACAGGTTTTAAAGCCCTCTATGTATCAGGCCTTGAAGTAGGTGCTACTCAAATCCTAGTTAAATAATACAGTTGAAGTAGGGACAAGCTTCTCCGGAGTAGGCTGGAAAAATTCATGTTTCTTAGTACCTTGGGCAGGCTTTAAGCTATTGGGTGTGACAAGGCTTGGCAGAAATGCCTGGTGGGTGGTGGGGCTTGGTGATTGTGGTTGGCTGGGGAGGGGGAGGGTGGGAAAGGTGACTGCAAAGCCAAATGAAGTTAAGTGGTAGGACTTAGGAGGAAGTAGTGCTCATTCCAGCTTTGAGGGGTCTGTGAGAGTGCAGCCTAGGAGCCAAGGCAGAATTGGACACTTAGGGAGGGGAGGGAAAGAAAAGGTACATTTGAGACAGATATCTTTTTCCCCCTCTTAAATTATTTTTATTATGGAAAATTTCAAGCAGGTACAGAACACAGTGTCAATAATTATTAACATTCTGACATTTTTTGATACTAGTGATTGAACCTAGAGCTTCACACATGCTAGACAAGTGCTGTATCTACTCATTTCCTACTCACTAGCTTAACTGTTACTGAATTTGTTAAATGTTTTAGTTTAAAATACACACAAATGACTAGCCCTTGTGTAACTGAAACCCTATCACAATTCTGTCTTTGCAGAGCATCCTCCTCCTCCTCCCACTCCTCCCTTCATTCCCATTTGTGATCTGAAGGAATGGCTGATTTGACATCACTGTAAATTAGAGCTACCTATCCTGGGGTTTTATATAAGTAGACTCATATAGTAATATGGTTTAGTGTTTTTATTCACTCAACATAATTTTTTGAGATCCACCTATATTGTTACATCCAATGGCAGTTTGTTCTTTTTTTAATGCTAGATGGTTTTCCATCGTAAGAATCTGCTACAGGTGCCAGGTGTGATGGTATGCACCTGAAATCTCAGTACTTGAGAAGTGGAGACAGAAGGATCAAGAGAGGCTTGCTGGATAACCAGTCTAGCCAATCTGTGAGCTCCAGTTTAAGTGAGAGACCCTGTCTTAAAAAAATGGGGGTCGGGCTGGAGAGATGGCTCAGCAGTTAAGAGCACTGACTGCTCTTGCAGAGGACCCGGGTTCGATTCCTAACACCCACATGGTGGCTATGCAATGTCCTTAACTCCAGTTCCAGGGGGATCCAAAGCTCTCTCCTGACCTCTGAGGCATTGCATGACATGGGTGCACTCACATACATGCAGGCAATACACTCATACGCATAAAATAAAAATAATAAATAAAATATTTTTTAAAATTAAGGGTGGGGGTGGGGTTAAGACATCAACATTGACCTCTGGCCTCCACACACAAGTGTGAATATATTCAGACCATTCTGTCAATGGACATTTGAGTTACTTCCAGTTTGATGCTATTACAAAGCTACTAAGAGCATCATTTGACTTTCTTGGACCAATGTTTCTAATTTCTCTTGGATGGATAGCTAGGAGTGGAATGGCTGAGTTTAAGACTAGGTATATATTCAGCTATGTAAGGAATTTGCAACCTTTTATCTAAAGTGATCGGTTATGTCATTATATATTCCTAGCACCAACTCGTGACAATTTCATATCCTCGTCACTAATTTATATTATTGATCTTTTACATGTTGGCCTTTCTAGTGAGGAGTGTAGAGGCTTCTAATTTGTGTTTTTTAAAGGATAGTCTTATTATTTTTATTTTATGTGTATGAGTGTGTTGCTTGCATGTATGTAAGTGTACCCATGTTGTAAAATGCCTGCAGAGTCAGACGAGAGTGTCGAATTCCCCTGAAACTGGAGTTATGGATGGTTGTTAGCCACCATATGGGTGCTGGGAATCGAATCTGGGTCCTCTGCAAGAGCAGCCAGTGCTTTTAACTGCTGAACCATTTCTCCAGCCCCCTAATTGGTGGTTTTAATATGCCTTTCTCTGATGATTAATGATGTTGAGCACTTTAT